TATATATATATTAAAAGCATCAAAAGCATGTCAACTCACTTAAATTTTTCTCGCGTATCTCACTGAGATAATACAATCAATTCCATCTTAATATTTTGAAAAAAATGAACAAAAAATATCAGTTTATTGTTCATTGGACCTAAATATCTTCAGATACTAGGGAAGGTACTAGCCTTTCTTCAGAAGCTTGTTTTTCTCTCTCAGCACAACTTGTCAATAATATTAAGTCGTATTTTCATTCATTTAAATCTAATAATTTTTGTTTTGTTTCTTTTGAGAGAGTGTTTTGCAAAATGATAAAAACAGACCCTCGTTTGGTTAGCTGTTAGCCTAGCCTAGACAAAAATCTTTTGCCCTTTTCCCCATACTGTATCCTCTGCTCTGTGGCTGGTGTCATGGCTGATAAGTAACCACTGATAAAATATTACTTCAAAAAATGATGTAACTATTTATTTAATGGCCTTGTGTTTAATAATGTTTATGTTCTTCAGTGCTGGATGTCAAATCTGCTGTACCAATCATCATGGGAGCCAACATTGGAACATCTGTCACCAACACCATCGTGGCAGTGATGCAGGCAGGAGACAGGAACGAGTTCCGCAGGTAAACTAGAGTGACTGTTGATAAAAAAAAGACCTAAAGGGAGAATATTCCCAACGTTTACATGTGTACTGTTACTTTTAGAGCGTTCGCTGGTGCTACGGTTCATGATTTCTTCAACTGGCTGTCGGTTCTGATTCTTCTGCCCGTGGAGGCGGCCTCAGGTGTCCTGTACAAACTCACCCTCCTCCTGGTCGAATCTTTTAACATCCAGACTGGAGAGGACGCCCCCGATCTGCTGAATGTCATCACAGACCCCCTCACCGACTCTATCATCCAGGTAACTCAAACTGTATAAAAACTGATGTATAATTCAGAATAAAAATAATCCATTCTTCTAATCAAAGTCTTTTCTCTTAGCTGGACAAGTCTGTTATCACAGGCATTGCAACAGGTGACCCCACTGCACGAAACAAGAGTCTGATCAAGAAGTGGTGCAAAAAAGAGACAAACACGGTGAGAAAACCTTCTGCTTTTTTATTATAACATTTTTATTATAAAATAATTAAATTGGCAAGTGACTCTTACAAAAATAAATATCCCATGAACTCCTGCACAGGTCTAATGAAACTCCYAACTGAAAATAATCATTGAATGTATAATTTTGACCTTCAAAAACACTAAAATGGCTACGTCTCAAGGACTTTTACGGAGGCTGACAAAAAACTTGTTGTGGCAGTAGATGAGACTGATTACCAGCACATATTCTCACCACTAACGAATTTTTGTTTAAAACATTACCATTAACAGGATTCATCACTGTCCGTCTGTTAGCAAAATATCTCATGAACCACTGGCCWGATTTTAAATAAACTTTCAGGAAATATTCGCTAAATATACCTGGAGTCAACCTGATTTAAGATGGCCACTACAGCCGACTGACTTTATAAAAGTTAGTTAGTTAGTTAGTTAGTTAGTTAGTTAGTTAGTTAGTTAGTTAGTTAGTTAGTTAGTTAGTTAGTTAGTTAGTTAGTTAGTTAGTTAGTTGTGGCTGTAGCTGAGAGTCATTCACAACATACACATATTTATTTAAATCCGTAGCAGTAATTGCTGGACTCAACCCAGTTAGTCTGTTAGCAAAATATCTCAAAAATAGGTGAAGGTAAAAAAAAAATAGAAAAATCACGTGTTGAAGTTGTAGAAAGATGATAATCTTCAGCTGCAGTAATCCTTGACTTGTTTCTGTCAGACTTTTTGGAACGCCACAGTGGAAAGTTGCCCCGCTGGTGCTGTGTGTTGGGTGGAGGGAAACCAGACCTGGACCGAGATGAACTCGACTTGGACTGAATACCTAGAAAAATGTAAGTGTTCCTTAATGCTTAAGAATTTCTATGTGTGTGTGTGTGTGTGTGGGGGGGGGGGGGTTCAGATAGCAGTTGGGATTACCTGAAGAGAGGAGTTAGGATTACCTGAAGCTCCGTGAAACATGAGAGAGCCATGGGTCCTCTGATATCAGGACAATGCCAGTCTTTGAGACACTGCTGTGGTTCAGTTATTACCCTCAACAGATCTTTTCATGCTGCCTTGTTGAAGCACCTGACTGCCTCAAGACTATGAGATGGATCACTTCCTCAAGAAAATCTGCCTCTAATTAAAAGAAAAGATTCAGTGCTTTTGGTAAATAGAAATACTCTCCTTTTGTAATTTGATAAACTAAGAAAGCATATTTTACAGTTACTGTAAACATTTTGTCCCCCAAAACTAATTTTTGTACTGTTCTGTATAAAATGTAAGACCTAGCACATTTTTTTTTCTTTTACTGTACCTCTGTCTGTGTTGCTGTTTCCCTCCTCTACATGTCTTTTCTTCTTTGTCTGGTCATAGATATTAGTCACGCGTTTTGGTACCGTTGTGAAGGAGGAGAGCTGATGAAGGATCATTATTGGGTCTTATCATTTTGTGTTATTTAATAAAGCTTGACAGGATGACTCAGTTTCTGTGCACCAGTCAACTAAACCCAAGTACAAAATCACTTCCTCTGGGTTTTTTTGCACATGAAATCTATCCATGCACGTCCCTGAAGAGGTATTCACTACATTCAGCAATGGAGAAAGCGGGAGTTTTTTTTTTCAACATCAGTCAATATAAGCAGCAGAATCGCCACACGTGGCCAGTWATTGAGAAGCTGCTCCAACAATAACATTAGCTTGCTAATGCACATAGCGGTGTTACAAGCAAAAGTGTCCCCCTTGAAACAGTTCACTGGCAGGCACGATGTAATATGTTTAGGCTATTTATGTATTTAAAAATATATTTTAAACCAGTTATGGGTACGAAAAGGTATACTGCCTAGCTCTAACTCAAAGCGGTTTAAGGGCTCGACACACGGGAGGCGACGTCKCTCGCTCTCCATTCATTTCCTATGGAGCCTGTG